CCTCTGCAGTGGTGGGCTTCCAACACATGAAAATAAGCAAAAATAAGGCTATGTGAAATAAGTTTGTTTCCCTTACAAAACAATCACTGTGTGCAAAAACAACCATGACTTCAGCAGATTGAGCAATGAGTGTCCAAACAACTGAGAGGAATGAGAGATACCGTGTATTTTATTCAACAATGTACCAATATTTACAACACAAATGCACAGATTCTCCAGATCCGTTCAGCATTCCATGATATTCTGAAAATAAATAACTTTTTCAAAAGAGGGTAAAAGAACCTGTGTATAAAAATAAATACAAAACAGTCCATTTGCTGTGAATCTGAGGTGTGTCACAGAGAAAATGGGAATGCATTGTCAAACAGAGCAGGTCCTTGAAGCTCATTTGGTTTCGATTTTAACATTCATGGTCGCAGTGGTCTGTCTCTCTCCATGTCCAAAATGTCTTTCTCATAAGTGCTCCTTTGCAGACATCACAGTCCACGCAAAGAGGAACATGAAAAGCCCGCTCTCCTCTCAGGCCTGTGGCACAGCGGCTGTGATTGGCCTGTTTCAGTCTTTCTGAAGGGTTGTTCTGATCCTCTGGATTAGGTCTAGAATCTGTGAAAACGGGGGAAATAAACCTGATGAGGATACATTCATGACAGTAACGCGTTCTGAATAAAAGCGCAGTGCACGTTTTTCCATTCACACATCATTACTTAATATAAACCGTGGGAATTTCCCATTTTCAGCCCTGATTGCAAAACACTGTGGCTGGTGAGAAAGTTATGCGTGTACTAAAAGTTTTGTAACGTCCCTAGGGACCAAACTCTATTACATTACGAAACAAATTTGTCAAGAAGTCTGGGAATGGTTAGTAAAAAAAATATAGTGTAAAATGAATCAATACAGTGTGCGTAAAATCTCATCTAATCTCTATCTAATTCCGCACAGATGCTCCTTTTTACAGAAAAATGCGTAGAGGTTGAGCTTACCTTTCTGTCTCATCAAATGTAGTGGACTGATTAGGACGTAGTGGACAAGGACCAGGCACCCCCCATCCTCCAGACCGAGAACGCGTAGCTTAGACGTTCGTGCGCCACGTAGCTGCAGCTCGTCCCCCGCGCATCCAGCTCATCGCTCTGCAGAACTTGGCACAAAAAGTCGATGTACCGCGCCGCCAGCTTGAGTGTCTGGATCTTGCTGAGTTTGTCTGAAGGAAGAGTGGGGATAATCTTCCGCAGTGACGTGAATGCCTCGTTGAGAGACTGCGTCCGTTGCCTTTCTCGGATGTTGGCCATGACACGCTGCGTGTGGAGGTCGTCAAAGGAGCGCGCTGGACTACTGCTGGCCTCGCTGCCACCACTCCCGGCGCTGCCGCCTCCGCTGTCACAACTCTTTCTAAACTTTTTCTTGTTCTTTATCGCCGGGCTGGGACTCTGCGCGTCCCCTTCCTCCTCCTCTGTGTCCGCGCCCCTTCTTGCCGCCCGCCGCTTCCTTGCGCCTCTGCGCGGCAGCTGACGCTCGGTCTCCTCCTCACTGTTGCCCGCACTGTCCATCGGGGAGGAGTCCTCTTCGCGCATCGTCGCTTCTCGAGACTTGTCTTCAGTGAAGAGAACACTTATAATCCCTGACTTGACCTCTCATGCGTCAACAAACAGCGCAGGTAATGAGGAGTCGCCTGCAGTGGGGTGTGGGCTGGTGTTACGGTAAATGTCGGGCGCCACAGAAAGGGAGAGGTTCCTGTCAGACTGGGGACGTTCGGGGCTCTTATAGGAGCAGGCAGGAGGATTTTGGGGAGCGCTGTGATTGGGTGGAGGAATGTAACATAATACTGTGTGAGAAGGAGAGGTCTTGTTATAACATTAGAAGTAAAGTCTAAGACATGTAGGATTGCTTTTATCCAACTGTAGAGTGTGATGTGGTGTTGTTGAATTATGATGTTGAGTTATGTTGATATTAGAGATCCGTCAATTCACTGCATCCTTCCCCAAATTATTTCTGCCTCCTCCTCTCATGCCTCTTATGTTGTAGTTAAGCCCACAGTTTTCCAAACCCACACACAAGGTTGAGTTGGGTCCCATGGGTTTAAGTCAAAGTCTGAGTCACAGGGGAAACGTTTAGGTCGAGTTGGAATATAATCCCAGTGGTTTAATTTAGAGTCGCTGTCAGTAAAGAAAGTTTGAGTCAAGCTGCACTTTAATCCCCAGGGGTTTAATTATAATCCGAGGCATAGAACAAGTGTGGAGTGCAAGCCAGCTTCTCAAGTGAAAGTATGAACAGCTCATGTTGAATCAGAACCGAGTCACCAATGTACCGAGTCAGAGCGCAAGTCACTGAGAAATATTTATATGTTGAGCCGCCGACCCTGGGACTTTCAATACAAAGTTATTTTCAAAAAAGAAAAACAAAGAAGTTGAGATGATTCTGAATTAAGTAGGGCTCAGACCAAGTCCACTTTCAGTTAGTCAATAAGTCAATGAAGAAAAGCTCGAGTTATGTCAGTGTAAAGTACAGTTAAAGTTAAATCCCAGCTGAGTGTTTACATTATAGTGTAGCTACAGGACAGACTGACTGAAGAAAAATTCAAGTTGGGTTCAAAGTGTTTCAGGCCCCAGTCTACGTATAAGTTATGTACAGTATTAGTGCCTGAGTCAAGTCACAGAAAATATTACTGAAGTTTAGTCAACAGGTTTTTAATTGAGAGTCTGACTCACTGAAGGAGATTAGAATTAGAATCAGAGTCACATTTTCAGGCGGATCTAAGATGAAATAAGGCAATTTCTTTTTAATCAAGGTTGACTACAGAACCCTGTTTTGACTGAGACTAAGGCTCAGTTTTTTTCTAAAAGCCCTTGTCTGTTGATGTCAGTTTCTAACCCTAGATTTGGGCCCTGCTTGCTTTGACTGCCACGGCAGTGGTGATGAAAATTCTCAGCCCTACTGAAACACAGGAGGACGTCACAGCAGGAGGCATCTGCTCGTATAAGCAGAGAGACGTGTTTATTTTCCCGTCAGCAGCCCCTCGTTGAGGTATGTGCTTGAATGGGTCTGTGTCACGCAGGGATCTCACCACCGCGGCTCAGGTTTAAAGACAGGCCGTCACGGGGAGCTCTCGGGGCGGATCCGCGCTCACAGCGGGATGTTGAAGGCGGTGCACGGCTGCACCGCCGAGCAAACAGTAGAGGTGATAAAAGTGGATAAAGATGGACTCGCAGGGAAAAAGAAAAAATGAGAGAGTGAGAGAAAGAAGAAGGGGAGAAATATTTATGTACGACGGTTGAAATATTTATATATATATATTTTTATAGTTTAACTGTTTTTTTCTTATTTGTTAACTAGTACTTTTATATTTATATTTATATATATATATTTATAGTTTAACTGTTTTTTTTTATTTGTTAACTAGTACTTTTTAAATGACGTTTCTGTGTAGGACACAACAATAAATAAAATTAGTTGTTTAGGAAATTCTTCATAATAAATGTTGATAACTTCCCCAAAGGAGAACCGCCACCACTCCTTGTATCTTACGTTATCTTTGCACTATAAACAACACGTAAGTGTAATCACAAACTTAACTAAATAGAAGTAAACTCCTCCATTAATGGACAGTGTCGTCAGGTGTGTCGCTGTCCATGGTGCTGAGAAACACACCTGTCCCCAATACTCTAAAACTGACGTTTCCTTTGAGTTGAATTGTGTTGTTGCATTTACTAAAGGGAGGTAATTTATTATTTTGTGAAAAAATTTCTTTTTTCTTTCCGACTATAAGAAAGAAAAGGCCTGCTACGGGTATTCAGTAACAGCATTATCGCTCAATTATCACATAGCGAAAATAATAAAACTGATAAAACTACGGTTTTGTCTGACAATTACAGGTGTTGTCCTAAACTTCAGGGCTGTTAAAGTCAGCAGAGACAGTTTTAAAAAATCAAGTCTCCAGCTTAGTCCAGTGTCCGCAAAATAACAATGTTGTTCTCAAGAGCTCTCCAGCAAGTCCGTCATGAAGGAGATATAGACGATGGCCAGACGCAGCGTTTCAATTCGTGACAGTCTCTTCTCGTAAGCGAAGGTCGGAACTTTCCTCCTCAGTTCATCAAACGCCTCATTCAAGCTGAACATCCGCTTTCTCTCCCGCACGTTAGCCGCTTGTCGCTGGACCACCGTGATGATCCGCCTGCGTTTGGACTTACTGTGTCCGTGCCCCCCGCGGCTGTAGTACCGAGTCGGGCTCATCACCAGGTGCCTGGTGCACAGATCTTCGGAGCTCGCCTCGTCGTCCAGGTCTCTGGGTGACGAGTGGGTCAGCCTTGCGTGGTTGCTGAGGCTGGGTGCGGTCTCACCCACCTGTTGCCTTGGTCCCAACGTGCACTTCTGAGGAAAATCTATCAGGTTTATGCCGTTGACAAAACCTATCAAGGTGGAGTCGACGGATCGGCCTTGGAGCTCCATCCTCTGCCTTCAAACGGAGTCTCGTGGAGAATTTGTCACTTTGATGCGTCTGCCATCAGAAGTCATCGGCTGGACACTGTCCCCGAAAAACATCTCCAAATACTCAACCCAAATCCGGACTCAGCTCAAGGGGGTTAGATCCTATTTGGCTCAAATCCAACGCTTCCTGCTGTTTTAATATAGCACTTCACACCGTCCCCACTGCCTCTAAATCGAGTCCACTCCTGTCGTCAGTCGGCCAGTGTGTGGGTTCAATACGAACCGAGAGGCTTACAAACGGGCAGAGAGGAAACTGGAGGGCCCCACCAATGGATGCGCTGTCCTAGAGGCCCTTAATGAGCTTCTGAAGAACGGAGGGTTTTGACAGAGGGTCACACAGTCCTGTTTGCACTCTCTCCTCCGCTTCAGAGACTAAATAATGACACTTTTACCACTTAAACAGGCCAAGGGAAGACCAAATAGAACATTCCCTAACTGTCACTATACACCGCAAGCTTTTCTGTTGCAAATTAAAGCAAATAGCCTAACTGTCCGTTCCCATGGAGAGACAGTGTCCACACGGCAGGAGCTGCTGAGAGGGCCACGCAGGGCTCCAGTCGGGTCAGAACTCAGCATCAGTGTCACAGGTTTTAAACAAATTGAGTAGTGATAAAATATCAAATAAGCCAAGTCTGAACGTACTCTGACCAGGACGCTGTTTTGCTGAAGTTTGACCAAAACTCACTTTGAAAACTTTCTCATTTTTCATTGTCTTTTGAAGGCCAACAACAGAAATGTCCCCTATTCTCTCTGGATTTTGATGATAATATCACACAAAAAAAATTCTAAAAAAATCTTTAAAGCTAGATATAGAAAAACACATTGTGCAGTGTTTTATTTTGGGGAGACAAACTGTAAAATACTTTTTTTGCTGTGCAGGTCATGTGAACAGATACAAATCCAATATCTCACACAGGGTAATAAAGGAGTTCCTTCCCTCCCTCTGCCCATTAATTAAGTTTTAATATGATCTGATAAGGTGTATTATGGCAGTCTCACTGAGAACACAAACAGTGATCCACTTAATGAGTGAAAGTGAAGCAGAAATGGCTCTGTTTTATACAAACACTAAGACGTAGTCCAGACGTTTGTTTTTTTTTAAATCCTGGGCTGTAGGTGTTTGTGGGTTGAACAGTTTAATCAAGGTCAACTCAGTTTTGGCGGTTTAAGTAGGAGTGTGTTGTGTTCTAAAATTTGCTGAACTCAGCCAGTGGAGCAAGGGCGTGTTGAGAGCTGACTCATGATGACAGATTGTTCCAAATGGCATGAAAATTCAGACTTTTCAGTCTCAAAAATAAGCACAGTAAGTGGGCGACTGTTAATGCGGTGTTTTTCTGTTTGCTGAAAGTTCAGACGTCACAGAAAAGGGAGAACAACAAGCTTCTAAAATGACCCTTTGTTACAGAATGATTTGTTCATAAAAAAGTCTGATTAGGTCAATCAATTTAATTGATCCAACACCTTTAAATAGAGCAGCAGTCACATATGAACAAAAATAGAGATTCCATTTTATCATTTAAAATATCTGTTTGTGTAATTGTCGAAATTACACAAACAGTTGCCTTTCTTGGATTGTTTAAAGTTGACAATCCTAGGCCCCAGGGCTGAAGTCTAACCTCAAAGAACTTGTCATGTGGGTGTAGCACCAGAAATGTTGCCAATAAATACACATTTTAAAGACAATTTGCACATTTTCACTTGTAGTCGAGTACATGTAGCCATTACTTTGTTATCATTACTCATCAACCTGACAGTTGCCTAGTAGAAGTAGTGATCAACTTCCTTTGTTTGCTGATTTAACTCACACTATGTTCAGGAACCTACACGTATCATGGCCATCTATATTTCTTCTTCTCTCCTCACTGTTTCTTCAGTGGGCAGATAAACATGATGGGACATTCCACTGGTTGTCATGGAAACATTGAGAAAGCACAGCTGGGCGGGAGAACATGAGGTAATCTCACCCTGGGGCTGCTGGGTAAATATTGGTCTTAAATAAGGAGTAAAACCCCAAAACACACACACACACACACACATACACACACACACAGTATCTCTTTAGGACATTGGCTGGACTCTACTTTATTTTAGAGGTAGCACTGGACAGAACTTTGGTTGACCTGTTGATGGCACCAGAGGGTAATTTGAGAACCTCAAAGCTTTTGCAGGTTTTTCTGGACCTATCAAAGTCTAACTCTCAAAGTCACATAAATCAAAGAGGTAAAGTTGCATTTTTATTCCTCAAAGTCACATAAATCAAAGAGGTAACTCAGTAACTCATTCTTACCTAACCAAACAAGGGTCGCTGAACAGTCCTGAATCATCATCAATATCTAAAGCAAATTACTAATCAGGACTCTCCTGAAAGTTAGTCACACCTACTGGTTAGAAGTCCATACATCACTCTAACACTGTAGTAAAATGATGTCACAACTTCGAGTGTGGATTGTAAAAAAGTGAGAATTGTGTTTTTACACTCGGAGGGTCATTAATACAGAGATCAGCAGAGAACGTTGTGCTGCTTCAGAACAGCCAGTGCTGTTCTCACCATGTAAATCTGTCTTCCTACTACTCCTTTGGCCCAGTCCTGAGTGTGCTGTATGAACACGGCCAAATATCTCCCACAACCACCGTAAATCAGACACTGGACACCTTCCCCTCATTCTGCTGCTTTCTTATTATTTTTTTCTGACTTTACTTTTTTAGCGTCTCTCTTCGTCTGGGTTCTCTGCCGATTAGGTTCTCTTCACACCTCCATCATTTTCTATTGCTCGTTTCACCACTTGCTGATTAAGCAAACATTCCAAAAAATCGACACTTGCTCTGTTTTTGCACAGTGAGAAAGGCAGTGGAGATGCTGGCAGTGAGTAGGATTAGTTTAACCCCAGAGTTTTCTTTATTTATTTGTGGCACTGTGTTTCTTTCTGTCTCTCTCCTCCCTCAGAAGTCGCCTCATTGGTTCGTTCGTACCACCTTCCTCTACATCTTGCCCTCTGATTGGCTTGGCACTGAGGCCAGCACTCAGTCACTGTATGTTTACACAGCTGGGTGGCCAGTCAGAGGTAGCGCTAATGCATGTGTGCATGTGCGTGTGTGTGGAGGTTGGATAAACCCCAATACCACATCATATATCTCCTCACTCAGCTCCCCCTCCAACTCACCCTCTTCCTTAAAACCTTCAGCTCCTTCTGGCCAAACCACTGCCTGCTCTCAGCTTTGCCTCTCAGAATTACCCTCCTCATCTTAATCCAGCCTCACATTAAAAAATCTTACTGCATGGCATGGCTCCCCCACCCATGTCAGCACCCTGCCTCCTCTCCATCCCCCATATCTGTCTGAGTAACGTCAGTGTTTATTTTCTGAAAGACGGTCACCAGTCTGTACTGTGTATTTAGGGGTGCTGTGTTACATTTGTTTAAAGGATCAAATTCTTAAATGAATGTTGAGTTTCCTAAATATGACTGTCAAACGGATAAAACGTTGACGGCATGGATGGTGATGCTGAAGTTAATGGAGGTTGGAAGCGTTCGCTCCATGGACTCTGCCATTGCAGCCTTGTCATGTGATGCTAAATGTTGTTTAGGGTGGTCATAATCTGCTAGCTCGTGTAGCTTGTTTACATTAAAAAGTGAATAACTGAGTCACTATTGTGTTAAATATGTGTCAATGTAGGCCAGACTGAAATGATGCTAAAGTGAATTTAAGATGTCACACTAAGACAATAACATTATGTGGTTGAGAATTGACTCACACCTCACTGTCCACACAACACAAGTGAGTCTCACCACTTCTGCAAACACAACTTACACACAACTAATGTATCCGAACAGATTGTTTCTGTTGGTGGGACATGGTTTATTGTTGTTTGTAATCAGACACTGCACACGAATTGTCCTGAAGCTCTGAAAATGTTGGATTGTGCAAAACGGTGGAATAAAAATGTATTCTTGCCCTGGCAGTATTTCAGAACATAAAATCTTTCTTAATGGCCCAAACAAGCTGTCGCTGTAGCGCCACCACTAAAATGAGCATGTAAAACTATGTCTTCATTACACTGCTCCGCATGGACCAGCCCATTATTTTCTGTCTCTGTTGCCAAAACTGTTTTGGGAAGAAAAAAAAGTGAGCTGGAAATTTGTGGATGACAAGGCTTGTGCTGCCAGAGAGAAAGCAAAAAAAAAATCTCTAAACAAAATCTGGATTTTAAAATGTCACATTATAAAACTACATTATATGTATGGCTGCAATTTTACTATAAAAACTCTATTGTATTCAGAGCCACAGCTGAGATCATTGACTCTAATCTGCACAAGTGGTAAAGTATTCTAAGAAAATATATATATACAGTATATATTTCCCCTTTTTTTTGGATTTGAATGCTCAAAGTTATCATTAAGAATACAGTTTTTACATTGACTTTTTGTCCAGTAAACTACATTCCTCACATACACATAAATGTCAGTGTGGCTAAATGATTGGGTAATGCTTTTATCAGTGCTGTCTGTGTGAGCGATGATTTTATCATAATGAGTGGATTCTGTTAAGATAAAATAACACATTTTGTTTTGCTTTACTGCCACATTTTCTCAGTGTTTTTGGGTGTAGGAGTTGTAGTTTGGTCTAAACTCAAGTCTAGACACAGACCAGCCTCCCATTACATTCTGATTACACTGAGCCCTATTAATCTGACCCCCCCTCCCTCCTCACACACATACATATATACACACAAAGCAGCGTAAAACACCAGATACCAGAAGCTATCATACTAAATAAAATCTACCTGACTCTAAACAACACATAAAAGTATAATTTCAGTTCTTTTTATCAAAAATAAATCCCATGTATTTTCGTATCACTTTCTTGGTAGGGATGTCTCTGCATGAAAACTGCCAGAAAATTAATACAAATATTATTTGAATATCGAAAGATGTGAAATAAATAAAAAAGTGGGTTTAAGGACCACTGATGGTCCAGTAAGCAACACAGTAGTGAAAAAAATACACTAAAAATGTAATTTCTTAAAGTGATTGTTCTCTCTTCAGGTGAAGCTAAACTACAGTAATCCCAGTAACTGCCTCACCTGGTTCAGTTCATTGTGGGATTGTGAGCTATTCCACTGCCACCTACTGTACTTGCTCTGTTTTTCACCCTGAGACATCCCTGCGTGAAAGGAGTGGAGAAAACAAGAACAGAAAAGCAGTAGAGTCTATGACGATAAAACAGCGCTGTGTACTATCTGCGGTCCATTAAAGACGACTGTAAGCACCGAGCCTATGGTGCAATACTTTAAAGACTCAAACTTCATGAATATGTGATAAGTGCTGACTGGCAACACACATCACCCAAGTTCCTGAGAACAGTGGGCGTTGGATACCAAGGAGACAAGCGAGTATGGGAATCCAACTCACAGACCAAGAGTAATGTTTACTTTCGGGGTTAATAGTGTGTGTGCTTGTACACAAGTGTGTGCAGACACAGATCCCTTGGGAATGAGTTTAAGGCCTGAGTCAGCCAGTCTCCGTGTGAGCATGGGCGATTTTCCTACCTGAGGGCATATTAAAAAAAAAAAAAGCAGAGATGCAACGCTGTGTTACAAAAGAAATTCTGAGAAATATCTTTGAAACAGCCATAAAGGGATTCCATGGACATTAGTAGGCCTGCGAGAGATGGGCTTTGATACAGCCCGGTCTCGTTTGGACCGTGTCGGTGGATATATGGCCACAGTTGCACGGCTTTGACTGGTGAAACACTTAAGGTTTTATGACCTGTTGCCATTTGGGCTGTGGGATGGAGCACAGTGCCGACCACAGGACTAATTAGGACTGGCTAACGGAGGTGGACAAGGATGGGGATTTGCGGGCTGTGGGCTGTGGATGTGTTGTGGTGTGTCTGCATGAGAGAATTAAGCCAGTCAGTGTGTGACACAGGTCTTTGTGTTTTTGCTGTGGATCAAGGTTTTGTTTCTTTTTTTCATGTAGAAACTCTTGTGCCTGGAAACTCTGACACAAAAGATACTTTAGTCACACACATACACACCAGATCCTCTGTTACAAATAAATAAATAAAAAAGAAGAGGTTTTTAAGCCATTTAACCACAAACATAGTATCAAAATTCCTAACCCTAATCCCTCAGCCTGGGCTTTACTTTTCCACAAGTCTAAAGTTGACAACCTGCTAAAATGTCCCTGCACTTTCAAAATATGAAAATGTTGTCCACTTCTCCTATTGTCTCCACTCCTGCAACAATCTGAGGCTCATGAAGATGAACGGCCGTGCCGTGATACGAGAGCTCAGTGGTGAGGAGGTGGAGGGGGCGTCGGGGGTGTTGTCAGAAGTGGAATGTGTGTGAACTGCACACCGCCTCCTATAAATCAAGGAGACGAGTAGGAGGAGGAGGAGGAGGAGGAGCAAGAGGGGAAGGAAAATAAGGATGAGGAAGAGAAGTCACTGAGAAGAAGTGATAGGAGGAATGAAAAGATAAAGTAGGAAATATCTGTGGAAATGTTTGAATATGCCATACTTCATGAATCTGCTGTGACATACAGTATATGTTTCTACTTGTCACACCACCGCACTGCTCACTTTTTCTAGTTGAACAAAACACCAGCTTGTTATATTAAAAAATATATTTTTAAGATAATGCGTTTGGCAAAACAAAAAGAAAATAGTAAACGTTTGAATTTCAAAAACACCAGCTTGTTATATTAAAAAATATAGGGGAGATAAAACAGGATTTCTTAGGATTCAAGAGGAAACAAACATAAATAGCTCATTCAAAAACACGAACTCCTTGACATCTTTTTAAGATAATGCGTTTGGCAAACAAAAAGAAAATAGTAAATGTTTGAATTTCAAAATTAAAAAAAAAGTATATTGTTGAATTCAATTTTCTACAGTACAAAAGGTAACGTGCTGAAAATACCCAGAGCAAGTGAAAATGGGTGGGTTTTTTTTTAGTTTAAACAAAATAGCACCTGCACAAATGATCATAGCGCCTCAGTTATCAGATAGTCCTGGCCAACTCTAGCTTGGTATAACCACGTTGGTTTATTGTCCCTTTTGCTGAGATATGTAAGGTAAAGTATACTCTGGGGCGGGGGGGTCAATGAGACTTCCCATTGAAGTGGAGGTTTGGAGGTCTTTGGAGAGTTTAACGTGATGCGAGAAATCCAAGAAAACTTAGGTCCCTCCTGTTTTTCTCAGCAGCTGAAGGAACAATTTTTTCACAGCCCGTTTCTTTGGTTTTCTCTGAGCGTCTTCAGTCTCTTCAGCTTGATTATCTAAAGTTATTAATTTCTCCATCAGTTCATCCCTAGAGGTTGTTATTTCTCTGTCTCTGTTATCCAAGCCCTGCTTGGCATTTCTCAAAGACTCAACCAGAAAAGACTTTCCCTGGTGCCACTCATGCCGTTGCTTGTCCAGGTCCTCGTGCATTTGGACCACAGCACAATGTGAGGTTTCTTGTCCTTGTTGTACCATGGGCGTGGCTGGTTCATGATCCACGGACTTCTCAACGTTGCCAAGCCAGTTTTCTGCCTCCTTCTTTCTGTCCGATTCAGCTTTTAGATCAAGCATGGCAATTTTTTCCCTCAGCATCGTTATCATATTTGTCTTCTCATTCGAACTCTCCGTGATGGTTTCTGCGGCCGACTGGTTTCCTGTTTTCACAGCAGCTTGTGACACATTTGTTTTGGTATTACCCGATACATCATGTGCATTGTTTTTCCACACATACTTTTTTGGATATTGGTTGTAGGCTGTATCCTTGTACTGACTGTAAGCTGCTCCTCTGAATTTATTAAAGGTTGGACATCCGTAGTTGCTGTAAATTGGATGACGATAGTTGATAGTGTAGGGTGGACATCTATAGTTGTTGTAGCCCTTGTGTCTATAATTGTTAAAGGCTGGATGTCGGTAGTTATTGTGGTTCTGATGTCTGTAGCTAGTATAGGATGGACGTCTGTAATTGGTGTAGGTAGGACCTCTGTAGGCATTAGATGAATGGCCTCTGTAACTATTAAAAGGCACGTGTCTGTATGTTGAACCAGTTGTGCTTTGGTGGCCATAGTTAGCTGCACCCTGGTAGGCATAGACGACTGTGCTTTGTTGGGCATAATTAACTGGATCCTGGTAGGAATAGCCAACCATGTTTGGATGAGCGTAGGTAGCAGGGTCCTGGTAGATGTAGCTAGCTGGGCCTCCGTAGTTGTAGCCAACCTTGCTGTGTTGTGTATAGTCAGCTGGGCCCTGGTAGGTGTAGCCAACAGTTTGAGGCCCAAATGTAGCTGGTCCTAGGTAAGCATAGCCAGCTGTGTTTTGTTGGGGATAGCTAGTTGGGCCCTCATAGGCATATAGAACTGTGCTTTGGTGTGCGTAGTCAGCTGGACCCTGGTACGTATAGCCAGCACTGCTTTGATGACTGTAATCAGTGGGGCCCTGATAAGAATAGCCGACTGTACATTTGTAGACGTAGTCAGAAGGACACTGGTAGACACAATCATATGGATTTTGATAGAGGCGACTAACTGGGTGCTGGCAGGCGAAGCCAGTCTCAGTCTTTGTGTAAATTTCAACAGCAGACTGTTCATCAGTTTTAATATCAGTCAATGACTTGTTGGTTTCATTTTCAGGTAAGACATTTGTCAATGCAGAAGACGGCACCTGACACATTTCTGATGCCTTTGTCTTTAGTGAAAACTGTGCTTGTACTTCAACTGCAGACTGTTCTTCCATATCTCACTCAGCCACTGGTGCTTTTGTCCAAATCCTGGTTGATCCTGGTTTTAAATCACTTTTCCAAATTAAAATGTCTTGTTATTGTGTGGTCACAGCTGGTCAGTAATGTGTGTTCTCCTTGTTGTTTTATAGCACAGGGCATCTGTAATATTACATCACTGCCTTGTAGAATCTTCACCTTAATGTCTTTGTTTGTGTGTTGCAGAGGTTCATCATTACATCGTGAAACTTTTCTCTTTTCGTATTTCTTTGCTTTAGTCAGTTGCAGTTATCAAAGGTACTACATAAAAGCTGACCATCTCATCAATTTTCATCAAAGGAAGATTGAATAATGATGATGTTCACAACTTTTTAAAGGTGAAGTCACAGGTGATATATTTACTTTAAAAACTGAACAAAAGTGTCAATCTTAAACACTGATTTTGATGTCTTGGAAAACACAGAGAGTCTTAAAATCACTGAGCATATTTGGTTAAGCTTTTACTTAAGACCTAAAATATTTTTAAACAGTTTTTGACACAGACAACAAAGAGGTTATTTTCTGAGGTTTGGTGCTAATACGGTGCAGGTTTGTTGCTAGCCTTAGCTAGCCTGGTTAACTAGGGGACAACCATTTTCTATGCATTATTTTGCTCACAGAGCAGCTCAACATGTCTGAAACTAAACAAAATATTTTTAGTCACAATATAGTCTATAGTTGTTGTTTTTTTAATATGCAACAAAACAGGGAAGTGTGATGAGAAACAAACAAACAATGGAGCTAGCAAAGAGTGTACTCACCACAGATCTGAGCAGAGGCCATTTTGAATTTTAGTGTTGATGGTGCTCTCAACCTCCAGTTTGTAAAAACCAGACTGTATTTATTGTCATCATCTACTGTGTATATACTATATCATCACCACAATACAATTTAGCAACAGGAAAAGAAGATTGTTGATATACAAAACCATAAACTCTCCATGGAAATGTTAACTGATGTAAATATTTTTAAAAGCAGCCTCATTGTTCCACCAGTTCCATTTAATGCATGCATTGATGTTTCAACTCAGACTTTATTTTTGTTGTTTGATATTTCTTTAAAATTCACATTAACTTGTTGTGAAGTTGTTCAGCACATATCGCTTGCTTCATTAAAGTGCAGTTATTTAAAATAAATAATTTCAAATTGACAGGAATCTACCATATTTAAGAAGCAAAGAAAAGCCACCTTAAATCCAGCTTCTTATCTGTCCGTGATAAGCTGTCTGCCTCTTAGCACCTCACAGTTAATTTAACTCCTCAATGAAAGGCAAAGCAAATGTGTGTGGATGTGGGTGGGGGTAAAGAAAACACGCAGGTCTTTAAGCTGTCTTTCAACACTTGACGCCTATTAGCGTAGGAGAGAAACTGCAATAGACAAAATGTGTGAAATGTACTATTTTACTGTTGTTTTGGAAAATCCAAGATTCTACGACTTTTTTTTTTAATCAAAGAATTAAAAACAAACTTGTCAAAATATATTTTTATTCTGGAAGAACATTGGTTAGGGTTAGAGTTGATAAAAGACACCACACCACAAATCCACAACCAGAAATTGTTGAATAACAATGCTGCAAATGTTTGAGTAATATAACAAAGTCTTTAATAATTCACTTCCCAGCGTTAACTCTGAAAACCACAGACAAGTTCTTCTAAGGCTTCCAAAGCGTGTTGGTGTATGAGACAGTTTTTGTCTGCATAAGACACTAACATTTGTTTGGTAATGCGCCATATAAAAACGTCACAATAACTGGATGTAATTAAATATAATTGTCTTGCTTCAATTTAATTACTCGGTATGTAACCTGTGCTTGTCTAGTAGAACACAACGCTGGAATTGAAGAAAGACACAAAGACTTTGAACAGTCCCGGGTCACCATTTTTCAGTTTATAGCCACCCACTGCCACCTAGTGGAATAATATTTAATTGTTCTGCTGTCACTAACCCATAGTGAAAAAAGGCAGCAGTAATACAATAATACCTTTTAGACTAATTCAATTAAACTGGTGAATTATCAGTGGTTGGTAATCACTGTCTTAGGTTGAGAGTGTCTAGACCATAGCTGTCCATCATTAGGGGGAGTTTATTGAAAACACTGCTCTGAAAATTGTGTCTACACAATAAGGCACCGCAGCACATTTGACTGTCATTGCAATGGCTGAATTCATGTCAAACACATTACAGAATCTCATCAGCTTCATGCAGCCAGTTCAATGACACTTTTCCTCTTCTTCTTCTTAGACTTTGGTGTTTCTGATTCTTCATCCACATGTGATGTAACATCGCTGCTATTTTCATGCTTCCTCTTTTTGCTTGGCTTGTCGCTAATGTAGCCACTGGAGTCACTGCCATGGACATCCATAGTAGTGACCTCAGCCTCCTCCTCCTCCTCTTCTTTTAAACATTTCTCCTTTTTCTTTTTCTTCTTTTTCTTGCCCTTATTACTTATTTCTTCATTTATTGTCCCATTAGGCTGAGATGTGTCGGCACCCTCTGGTTGGAGGGGGGGTGATGCATCATTTTCATTTACTTCTTCTTTGTTCTTTTTCTTGCTTGTCTCTTGGTCCTCTGTAGGTTCAGGTTTAGAATCTGTGTCTGCTGCCTCTGGCTGTTCTGTGGAGACGCACATCTGTGAGTTCTCCTCCATCGCTATCAACTCCTGGACCCTGAGCATCAACACAAGAAATTGGGCAAAAATGAATAAGTGCAGAGACATTTCACACAATATATGGTATAAAAGGGTGCCTAAGGCCTGAAATGGTGAAACATTTAATACAACAATTGAGAGCACACTTGCCTGGTTTTGTCCAGTCGCCCTCTAACCAGCAAAACACCCACATTGTCAGCATCAAGTGCCATAACCTCAAACTCTAGCTCTGATCCAATCCTCGGTCCTGCAACCCTCCAGGTTTCCACAGAGACCAGGTTTGGTTTGGGGATGCTGGCGTTGAAGCAGCCATGCACCAGGCAGCCTACATGGCTTATACCCAATTTATTCACCTTGCCCTGAAAACAACAAACAAATCACATATAAACAGCTTATGTTTTGTTTAGTTTGTTGTTTGGAATGTTATTTATGAGTTTTAGTTACAATTTATCCTGCATTTTTTTAAACAAATGAGCAATTAGAGGTCTAAATGGAGAAGATGGTTTTTACATTAGTGAATTAGAGAAATAAATATATATTTTAGGTTTTACAAATAACATATATGAGGTATATCTAGCCACAACCTCTCCTACAAATGTGATAATGAATAATTATGAAAGAATAATGAAAATAATAATTTTGCCATAATGTTGCAGCATGTTTTAACACGCATAAGAAACAATTGTTTCCATCAATGTTTAACAATAAAACAACAACTGTTGAATGTTAATCTCACCAGCAGTTTTTGCCCTTTTGTGGGCTGGAACACAACAAAGTCGGCCTGTATGTCCATGTGGATGTAGCTGCTGTCATCATAGATGTCACCCTTCTCACCAATGATCCTGATGTTGTCGTAGGCCAAAGGTACTCCATTTAGCCTGCAGGAGACATTCACACCTTAAGGCAGTATAAGATTTTTTTTTCTTTATGAAGAGACACACTATTGTTATCAGACTAGCCCACAGCAGAGAGAGTAAATATCAGGGGACAAGCAGTCAACACCCAGGGCAGCCAAGAACTACTGTGTTATCTCCGTATAGCTGTTTCTAATTAGAAAACAAGTGTTTTTCCTGTTGTAGGTAAAAGAAAGTGTGACACAAGGGTTTGTGATAACTGAGGGGTGTGGGTGTGTGTGTCACTGTCAATTCTACAAAATATTCAACTTGTTTATATTCGCTGCGAGAAGACCAGGGATGTTTTAGGATATGTCCATCATACAACCGAAAATCTGCTTCTTTTTTGTTTGTTTAGCGCCCTTACCTTTGAGAGAACCTGAGCAGCTCCGTCTCTAGTTCTCCCCTGATCCCTGTCCTCTTCTTGTGCAGGTACATGGGCGGAAGGACAATATGTCTGTGGTGCGTGTTCAACACCAGACACGAGTAGGGCGCTGACAGCAGTTCTGCGGCGGCCGCGAATGACGGTATCAAGCACGGAACCGCGAACGCATCGCATTCTGGAACAGAGGGCAATCTGTTTGTTTGGACCAGGCTAGAATTGAAAAGAGGTTCGCTTGTAACGTTCACATGTTTTGAGTCGTCACGAGCATGCTCCATATCCGCCATGCTGCAAAGGAAAACAGGAAGTTCAGCCAAACGACTTCCGTTGTAAAGATTATTTTTCTCCCTCTGAGGACCCCTATTGGTTGGAAGGTGGATTGACTTCTGGAATAAAACGACTCAGTAGGATTTATGTTTAAATTCAAGGTAATTGCCTATATATCATTTTTAAAATACATACATATTCACGGAACTCAGTCCTTTAACAAATACATAAAAATCTGTTGGTGTCAATATATTTCTGTTTATAAAGTTTCAGATTAACAAAGCTTTGTTCGCTGACAGTGCAGTGCCCCCAAATGTTGCAGATGTCGTTTCCACTTGATTTATTAGAAAATGTGACCGTTGTCCAAGTCAAATGTTTAAGGTATATTTTTTATTATTTAAAACATTTTGATGTGAAATTAATATAACTACGTTGTGCAATAATGATTTTAAGAAACAATTGAATCCTTATTTCCTGATCATTGATCACTGATTTCTAGTCCTGTCCTTAAACACTTCAAGTATCACTCAGGCCACTCTGGTATCAGGTTATCATGACTATTGTGCAGAAGTAACCTTAAGTAACCTAAAATACACGGGTGTTTTGATTGTTTTATGAGTAAGTGACAGCAGAGAAGGTCATTCAGCAGAGAGCAGCAAAGCCAACGTTCACTTGTGATGTGTGACATGGTGTCAGTTAGCAGGTTGTTTATGTTAGACACACATTCACACCTTTGTGAACACAGTACACGTATTTTGCCAAATTAAAGTTGGCACCTATCTATTGTACCCTGGTACATTTGTCATCCCAGTGCATGAATTCTTTTATCTGGATTCTGAGAACCCTTTTCAGTAAAGAGTGTTGCTAACATAGTGTGTTAATACAGGGTGTGAAACCTGAGCAGAACACAACACCCTTTTACTGTGTACAACCACATAGAAGTCATTCTTCATTGTTTTTAAATAAGTGTATGGTTTGTAGTTGTAGCTGTCAAAACATCCCATTGAAAATTGTTTCACATGAACATGCTTTAGTATCTGGGCTTGTGTAACTGGTTAGGAACCAGCTCAAAAGAAAAGAAAAGAAAGAATGTACAAACATACACCCGGACAGCTGGATTTTAATACTTTATTTTAAATCACTTCTACAAGAAGCATTTACAAAAAATATGTCTCATTTATAAGTACGTATGACTAGATTTCCGTCGTATGTGAATAAACAGTACAGTACAGTACAGTACATTAGGAGGCAAAGTATTTTCATGCCAATGCAGTCCTTCATTAGAAAATAAATGACATTGTCTAAAGCATGGGTCTCCAACACGTCACTTGCCTACTAGTAGCTCGCCGCTCTTTTCCAATTAGCTCGCAAATGGCTTATAAATCTAAAAAGCATTTAGATTTTCATAAACTTAATTGCTCGCTCAAAAAGTGAAGAAATGCAGGGTTAATAGTGGTCTCTTTTGCATTTTTAAAATGTTAACCAAATAACCTGTTTTTATTTTTCATTTATTTTCTGCAGAGTATCGCCGTCTACTGGCCACAAGTAGCACAATCGACTGCATTCTACAAGTGTTTGTCAATCTTCATGACATAAACGCAGCATTGATGCTGTGTGGTAGCAAACTTAGCTTTAGTCGGTTGTGTTATACGTGGCCAGTAGACAGAGATATTATGCATAAAATAAAATAAAATAAAAACAGGTTATTTGGACAAAATGGAGGAACAATACTGGACCTTGAATAGATGGATGTTTTTTGTGGACTAATAATACTTTGGTGATGTTTTAATGAAAAATGTGATTTATCAACAGTGACATGTTGTAAATGTTGAGGCAAAGAAAGCTTATTGAGTTTGTTTGTTCGAATTGAGCTATGAGCCATTTTAATTTTGTAAAAGTAGTTCTTGGAGAACAAAAGTTGGAGACCCCTGGTCTAAAGACTATCTCAACTTACATTTCATGAACCCAGGGATAAATAAACATGTTGAGAGTAATATGGTATTTCTTTGTTGCATGCTTGGTTTGTGCTCTTAAGATTATATAGCAAAGCCACCTTCCATCCTGGCTTTGGTGTAGGTCGACCTGGTGTGGTTACAAATCCATTAGTCAGAAACACAAGAAACACACCCTTTTTGCTGTGTGTTCAAAGGTAAGACAGTGGAATTTGTGCAGAGCCCACAGAGCGTCAGCGTCCTAAGTAAAATTAGGAACTACATTTAACTGGTAGCCCAGCACCACTCATTGTCATGGTGTGTTTGAGTGTGTGGATCTCACTTTTGCTGATTTTTGATCAGGGAGAGGTTGCACTGTGTCCATTGTAGGAGATCTGTGGGATACCATTGCTGGAGTTGTCCAGGACCTCCTGTTACAGAGACATTTGAACACAGGTGATAAACCAAGCAGGGAGTTTAAGATCAGGTCAAGGTAGAAACACCTGGACTAAAACAAACAAACAAAAAACGGTAAAATAATAACTGAAACATCGTAGCCCCTCAAAGACAGCAGCCATTGAGCAACAGTGCTGTTGTCCATTAGTGGTCAATAAAGTTTAACCCTCTGTAGTCATTATATCATGAAGAACGCAGTGTTCCAAAGGTAAGGTGCTAAGCTGAGATCATAAAACACATTTTTCAGATAAACCTGAGGAAAGATTTACAGAGCATTTTATGCCGGATGTTATGATTTTCTTATGTGATGTTTATAAAAGCTCTATTGAATTGGTATTTCATTCAGGAAATTTATTTTTTCTACTTGGCTTCTAAAAAAGATTCAAAAAGTAAGCAGCCATCTTTAAAATACACATACATACAGTGTGTGAATAAAGCAACAGTACAGGCCACGTTTTCTCACCTTCTCTGTCATCTCATGTGAGTGGTGCAATGAGTGCTCTCTCTCCAGGAACATCCTCTGCTGCTCCGAGCTGGCCAGTCGACAGGTCAGCCATGTTGAAAGGGTGCAGGAGGAAATCCCTGGAAAAACAATAAAAAGTTTGGTGATCACCGGCTCAAACTACACACTACACGTATAATCAGGTGGCTTAATCTGAGATTTAAAAGCCTGTATGTTTTTTTTTACTTCTATGGACAGACTGTTCTTCAGTCAGACAGTATTGTTGTCCATCAACAGGAAAGCCAAGTCCAAATTCTACAGATTGAGATTTGAAAACACCATGCATTTTGAACGTGTCACATTGTAACTGTGTTGTGTCAGCTGTTTGCGTTTACCCAGACAGGCCAGAGTCATCGCAGCGAGGTGGATGGAGTGCATAGAATCCGGCCGCTTGGTCATTGCTCGAACAAACTGGAAGTTCAGAATTCCACCAATCAGACCACAAATACAGCAGGCCGAAAACAGGATCATCTGCCAGATCAGTGACGGAGAGACGGATGTGTCTGTTAGCAGAACAGTAAACCAACTGACAAAATGTGATGGGAGATATAAATGAATAAACTACTATCGAGCCTCCGTCTCTGTTATTCGTCAGCTCTGGATGATGTTGGATTTCCTTTTTGAAAATGGGATTGCTCCGAGAGCACACGGTCTCTTTCAGAAATACAGCTCAGCTTGTAAATACGCTTGCACCACTTACTTTCTATATTTGTGCTTGTGCGCACATTTGTGATTGATGTGGATGTTTGGTGCAGCTTTACTTTCAGAGTTTGATCAATTGCATTTCACAGTGTTTGAGTTATTTCTATTATTATTATTATTATTATTATTATTATTATTATTATTATTATTATTTGGAGATGCGGAGCTCAAACCCAGTAAGTGGATCCCATTGATTTGGTGGAGCTTTTGATGGTGACGCAGGCCGCAGGTTCCCATTTTTACTGCTCCACTACAGATTCCTTTAGTGCATGGAAAAGGGCAGCTCCAGTTTCAGTCATTATCCAGTGAAGTGTGGAAGCGGCTGGCAGGAGTCTGCAGTCATACCAACCTAATGCAATCATCAACCCACTGGCAGACGAGCAGGGAGGAGACAGTGGGAGACAACGGGAGGAGGAGAAGGATGGAGCGAGTCCAAGTATAAAAAGACTGAAAGGGTGAAAGAGTGGACAGAGAGGGTAGAGAGAGAAGCTGATGAGTGGTGGTGGAGAGAGAGAGAGAGAGAGAGAGAGAGAAACAACAGCAACAAAGACACTGAAGGGGAAGGGAAGGGTGATGCAGAGTAAGAGAAAGGGTGAGGGACGTCTCTGTTACAGCAGGATGACACAGATCTGTCGTGCCCTTTCCCACAGGAGACAGAGGAACACGAAGAGTCAGAAACACTGGGTGTATGCCAGGCGATCAGTGAGCAGAATAGATGGACAGAGCGACAGGAAGAGAAGAAGAGAGGTGACTGACTGTCTGCTCGTATTTCCTCCGATGTCATTCACACACAACACACCCTCACACAGATACTGCTCGTGAACTTTGGTAGCTGATACAAACCATGTGTGTCTTTAGTACACAAGGTGTGTAGGGGGGCGGGAGGTCGGCTGGGGGGGAATTTCCTGCCATTTTTATGATTCAAAAACACATAAACAGTGACTGTGTAAGTGCGTTTACTTCATACCGTGCGGTTGAAGTGTGGCTATTTAATGGCATATCTGTCATATCCATAATTGAAGCTTTTAAGTGTTGTGAGAACATTTGTGGACACACACACACACACACACTCTTCTCTGAACCTTTTGAAAAACAGTTCCAAACAGCACCTGCCCCCTGGGGTAACAAAGAGGGCTGTGAAGTGAAATCCCTCATGTTTGTCTGCCAGTTCATGAACATAATCTAAAATAAAAGTAAAAAAAAAACTCTATTCTATTAACACAAAGGCTGCAGTCAGACGTTGGCGAACCTGTATGAAACCTGACACACCTGACAAATAGCCATGGTTTGAATAACACCACAGACTTGAGCCTATTAGAATGGTTCCCGGGCAAAAAAAGGTGGGAGAAGAAGAAAGGAACATAAAGGAAAAAGTACTCACAGTGAGGCCGGTCCTCTTTCGAGCGCAGAGCACTCCACACATCCCACAGACCAGAAACTGAAGAGAGACAAAAACACATGAATAAATAAGGAGATACAAAAGTTCCAGTAAGTTTGTCAAAAGACACAGACTAATACTGAGATGGAACCGATTCCACACATCGGATTCATATTACAAAGTGTAATCTCTCTCTCTCTCTCTCACACACACACACACACGCACACAGATAACCACAGTGATATTGGTTGATCCTTCACAAGCTAAAAGAAAACCACTGTCACCTTGACACAAACACACACACAGGCAGATGTGCATTGTTAGGACCAGAACTGTGTGTTACAATGGGCTTTCACACCAACACCGTGGGCTGATGGAATGATTGGAATGATAGTGACAGTTATATTAAGTGACTTCAAGACTCCCTCCTCAAAAACAAACACCAGAGTTACAATCCAGGCGCCTGACTGCCTTCAGATGAACAAACATTCTTCTGTCTCTCTTTTGCTCTTTAAGTGGGGCAAACATGAGCCCCCATACAGAGTCAGGTAATGATCTTTGTTCAGGTTGGGTTTTTAAATAAAAGCAGCCACAGGTGAAATCACTCCTGAGTTCCTGCCACCTCTGATTGATCGACTGATGACATGTCGTTCACTTTAACAGATTGTCAGTTAGAGCACGAGCAGTTAGAGTCAGTTTGGAGGCTACTTTATATAAACGTCATACAGTGTAGGATCAGGACAATTACTGTGGTGATGACTTCATTCAAGACAGTTATTTGACTTGACCACAGATTTCTGGCCTCGGGGGGCAGAGGTCAGCATGGAGCATACAATCGGCCTTAATGGGATTCTCTGGAGAAACCAACCCTTATATCAGGAGGATAATCAGGAGACGGGGGCAGCTGAGTCAGCAGACTGCCCTCAACAGCTGTACAGTGAGGCTGGGAGAAGCAGTCTTCACACACAGCTCGACGGTGGCACACTGGAACATTTCAAGTGTTTCCCATTATCTGCTGAAAATGTTTTGTCCAAACAGTTTCTTTATCGCTCGTCCATTAGTAAGCGCTAGTGATGAATATGTACAGCGGTTCACGTCACGTTATTTATAAAGCAGAAAATCAACATTTCATTTAAAAATGCAGAACAGAGAGAGAGAGAGAGAGAGAGAGAGAGAGAGAGAGAGAGAGGATGTTTGTGAGGAGAGTGAGAGGATGATTGTGCGTAAATGCTTTTACCCCCCTTCTATCTCCCCCGCCCCCTGCCCCCGGGGCATAGAGTAACAATTCAGGCATGAATTACTGAAACATCTCCTCTGACCTGTGATCGTAGCTCATAAACCCTGTATGAGATGTGGACAAACATGTTTGACCATAAGAAGGTAACTGTTAACAGGTATCACAACAGGATATGAAAGTAACGTCTACCAAAGGTTCATGAATTAAAAGTGCAGATGGGTTGGTGTTTAGTTATAATTATTATTATTTTATAATGAGGGAATGTTTGTGACAAGAATTTCCTAATCCCTCCATCCCTCCATCAATTCTTTTCAGGGTCAGGTTGGAGAGCTACTCCCATCAGTCCATGTCAAGATCAGATGCGTCACATTTTCATTTGCCCTTTTTTTCCCCTTCTTGATCTTCAAAAGCACTGCCTAATAACATTTAGAGATGTATTTTAAAGTGTACCTACACGGACCCAAACACACTAAATATCTTCCATTTTTTACAAAAGTACCACTGGTAGTACCACCAGTGGTACTTTTGTAGCTGTGCAAGGAAGTTTTTGTTTTTACATAAAAAATCCCACAGGTTCATAGTCAACTGTACACTAACCATACAAATAATTATTGATGTGTAATAAATAGCCAAGATAAAATTATTCAAATTTTTTTTTTAAACTTTTTAAATACATGCCACCTGTCACTACATAAATCTTCAGATGTGCTTTTAAAACTGACAGATAAGTGGATGTGTCTTGAATAAGTCTCCACCGAGGTGCTAAACCTTTAAACTACATACAGGATGAGAAGGAACTTGCTCTCGGGACGTACACACATTCCGCTCCACACCGGGGACGCGTCGCCTTGCAGCGGCTTGTGGTCGCCCCGTATCCGGTTGATGCCCACGGCTCCCAGCACGATGCTCGCCACACCCAGGCCCACCTCCACAACGGACAGCAAGAGCAGGCTCCACAGGATCTTGCGACTGGAGCACATCTTTCCCCGGGCATCTCTCAAGCTCCAGCAGGAGACAGCGGAGGAAGAGGATGGAGAGGAGCAGGTGGAGAACGAGGATGCGGAGGAGGAGGAGGAAAGTCCGCTACCCGGAGCCAGGTGGATGATGCGGTGGTACTGCTGCCGCTGCTCCGTGGTGGTGTACAAACATATTTAAAAGTTAACCAGAGGACGGTCTGTGTTTGCTGGGAAGAACTGCCACAAGAAGAAGTTGTAGTTGGAGAGAGAGAGAGAGAGAGGGGGGGGGGGCAAGTACACGCCACATCCAACCTGAACACTGAATGCGAATTATAATGGGGACAATTAAATTCAATAAAATTCCAAGGTCCGTGTGGAATTATCAATTAAAAATTTACAAAATATCAAATTTACTCGATTAAATGGAGGATATTTTTTTGCACCTATTTTTCTCAGATATCTCTTAAGTGTACCCGAAATGCCAGTAGTGCAAATGACAATACCGTAATATTTGTAAAACAAGTCGTGCGGAAACTTCAGTCACAGTCAGGAGGATGTTGGTCTACTGTCACCGTGACAGACAGGGTGTGGAAAAGGCAAGCAACATTCTTTCAGAAAGCATCTCCTCTGGCTGTGCTGCATCATTATTTGGAACACAAAAAACTCAGTAGAGCAGAAGGATCGTTTAGCCTAAAGTTAGGATTTTCCTTCCAGTGTTGAGACAGAGTTCCTGTCAAGCAAACGAGTCTGACAACATTGGCAGATACGTTGTGCCCAACACAAGATGAACTGATTTAACTGGAAGATGTTTTGTTCTTTGAGGCAGAATTCTTGATAAGCAAACGAGTCTGACAACATTGGCAGATATGTTGTGCTCAACACAAGATACGTTTTGCCCAAAAGTCAGCGTGGCAGAAGGATTAAATACTCTTGCGCCTGGTGGCAGCAGATGGTAATTACAACCAAAAGAAGAGAATCAGAGCTGTTGAAGAATATCTTTGTGAGTGTCTTTCTTCAATTCCTGCCAGTATATCAGTGTTGTGTTCAACTAAACAGGAGTACATTTTAGTACATTTAAACTAGAATATTATTATATTTCACAACATAAACTTTTATAAGATTTTTGTTTGTTAGTGTGCCGTGGGATTTTCATGATATTATATGTATGTGCCGTGGCTCAAAAAAGGTTGGGGAACACTGTTGTAAAGTATCAAGAGGATTTAGAAGTGTGGACCCAACAAGTCAGGTTCACAATGTTCTTCTGCTCATCCTACTGATTCTGTTTAGCTTTCATTAAAGTTAATAACTCTGACTGAGTTTATATACCTTCTTTGTTATGATTGTCATTCTGCTAATCTCAGCTACAGCTTCCTTTATCAGTACTTTCTAATTAGTCACCTATTTTACTGGCAGGAGTGGCAGTGTCAAATGGCTCTCATGTAAATTATCTTTATCAACACAGCATTAAAGCTTTAACGAGTCATCAGTCAGAAACAATAAAAGAAGTGAGGAACTCTACCATAATGAGGACAAAGATTTTCCTCACAAAAGGCACTGAATTCTCAGTGCACTTCTCTTCAACTCTGTGGACTTTGAACCTGTTCTTAAAATAAAACATGTGTGTACTTGGGGTGTTCCTGTGTGAAGGTTCTGCACATGTACACACCTGCTGACCACTGCTGTGTCTGAGTGGAAAATTAATGAATCACCAGAATTACAGTTATAAAAACAGGTCTCATGCAACAGGAGGCACCACGAATGTAGTTTCTCTGGGATTTTAACCCCTGGACCTTCAGTGCGTCTGTAGAGTCGGGAGATATTTATTTTGATAAAGAAAATAAATCAGTAAAAAAAAATTTTTTTAAATAAAAAGGGACTTTTTGTGCAGGACAAAAAAATATATTATTTTTTAATTCAATGTAATTTGTTACAGCTTTGGAGAGAAATAAACACAAAAAGCATTCACTTTGAACCCGGTGATTTGGCAACAACAGTAATGTAAACACATTTCCCGTCACAGATTTAAAAAAAAATGAAATCTGTGAAATGTAAACTTTTCCCTTAAGGTGAAAAAAAAACCCAAGTGAAATCATTTTTATAACTTAATTTACAAAACAAAACAGTTGTTAGACAGTGGTCATATTCCTGTGATGATGATGATGATGATGATGATGATGATGATGATGATGATTTATCAGTGGAATGTTGAAGAAGGCCTGGAAGTCCTAACAGAACACCAGTTGTAGATCCTTGATAGTCTTACATCGATTTTTTGTTGTTATCGAAAATGTCTTTCAATGTCTTTCCTTCTTTTCTTTTTTCGACTATAAAAACCACTGATTGTATCAACTTCTTTCGTACAGTTTTTTTTTTTAATTATCAATCTGCACATAATCATCTTTTTCGGTGGGTGGTCTTGGAACGTAACACCACTGTATTGACAATGATTGAATGAAAACATGATGTCATACAAAAAGCACCAATTAGATTTTGGGTCCCTGAGCAAAAGTACATTTTAAGGTTGTGTTTATTTAAAATATTTATTTAAAGTACCAGTCATACAAGTCATTAGTCACGTGGTATTCTTTAACTTTGGAAATGTGTTCACAGGCGAGGCAGATGGGTTGGATAAATTCATTCCAAATTGACAAAAGATGAGGAACGACTTTGTAGTTTCTTCTCCACTCAAAGTAGGTTGCGTAGGCCTCATCATCTTTGTCCAGCTGCTTCAGAAAATCTGCCAGTGATTTTGCATCAGGGAAATCATTGACATGAATGAAGGAGCCACTGGGAATTAACTGCTCATAGTTTTCTCTCGGCGGACCCATAACCACAGGCACTGACCCGGCGACGAGGGGACCGTTTACCTTTTCCGTCAAGTAATCTCTGTGAAGAGAGTTTTCAAATGCCAGGTAAAACTTGCACCTAGAAAGCGTTGAGTAATAGTCTTCAAAAGGCAACGCTTTGCCTCCAAATGCTTGTCCGTACACAGTAATGTCTATGTGTTTGATCAGTTCACGATAATATTTTTCTCTCACAGATGTTCCCGTTGACGGGATGGTGTTGCTAACAACCCAACACACCAGTGTGTCTTTCTTGGCTAAAACATATTCCTCCTTCATCTCCTCGTCCCTAATTGTCACCTCATTCCTCACAACAATGTCAGCGTCTCGTCTGTAACTCAGCGTTAAGTTAAACAGGTTTTCCACACCTGGTATCCTGGCTGTGTTTGTAGGAGATTCTACATGGAACCAAATCCACTTCTGAAAATGTGGACGAGGATCCTTAGGCATATTGTTTAAATTCCAGGCAATATCTTTGTGGAAGATAATCACTCCCTCTGATTTGCTGTACAAGGACCTATCATCAGTCAGCACGCAGCTGTCGATGTTGAAGTGGGTTAAACACTTCTTGAAATCAAACTTTACTCCAAGTGGCCAGAACCAGAGCAGAACTATGGGTTTGTTTGTAGAATCTGTGCTTTCATTCAAGGTGGACAATGGAGTCACAGGTGGACAAAAAGTACTGGGCGGTTGGAAATAAAAACATAATGCCAGAATCGAGAACGTAAGGCCAAAAGCAGTGGCTTTTTCCAGAAATGACATTTTACACAAACTGGTCATCTGTGGAAACAAAGAAAACAATGTGTGTATGAACACCATTTCCAAGAATAATACACAGGACTACTTTGTTTAGCAAACTAACCAATCCTGTTTTACTCTTTGAAACAGAGCTTTAGTTAGAGAGTTAAAACAGACAATGTATAAGAACTGAAACTGGTCATAAGCACACAGTAAACCTAACCCTGGCATCGATAACATGTCCAAATTGATTCAAATGTGGCGTTGTTCAGATATTTACATCGGCTATTGTAACAATTTAGCAAAGAAAAAAACTGGGCAACCTTTATCAGCATCTTTGCAACTTTTATTTGAGTATTTATATTAAAGTTATTAACATTTATATTAAAATATTTTCTGAATGTTATTAATATTAACAAACACATGTGCACCCTAACACACAGTACAGTACACGAAGAACAACAGCAGTGTGACTGCCGGCCAGCTCGTTCAAACACAGTCAACGTTCCCAATGTTAGTAGCGTTTAATCTACAAGAAATACAACACAACAGTGGAAACGTACACGCCACGAAATCATTTCTGACATCAAAACTCTGACAGGGTAAAGAAGAACCTGAAAGTTGTGGATTAATGACAGTAAAATGAAACCATAATTTCAAACATCCACAACACAAATTGAAATATAAAAAAAGGTTTAAAATTCCCAAAAAATGTTAGAACTAAAAATAAGTAAATGAGAAATCTAAAAATCCATGAAAAGAACATCTTAAATCAAAATTTTAAATTCAATATATCCATATTTTGTAAGTATTATTATTTAACAACATCTTCAGATTCTAGTAAAGATAAGTCCGACGTCTTTTCCTCACATCACAACAAAACACTCCATATCAACCTAGATCTAAAAAAAAAAAAAAAAAAAACTCAAGCCAAACACGTGAGCTCCATCTGTCCGCCACATATTTAACATAAAACCGTTATTAAAAACACGATCTTACCTTTTACTGAGTGTCTCGGTTGCTGTCGAATATTCCCACAGGGTTCAAACGTGCAGTTAGAAACCGACTACAGTGTTGTCATCAAAGTGGTTAACAGGTCTTCACTTCTGGTCTGCAAATGGTATCCGCTTCCTCCTAACAAATCAAGGAAGAACTGATGTGCAGCGTGATGTGCATTTACACGATTTTACAGCGTTTACAGAATCACACGAATTTCAAATCATTTGGCTTTTATTATATTTTAATTATTTTTTTCATAAAAAAAAACTTTACGCACGCATTTAAAACCAGCCTATTCCCGCAGATTAACATTGGTTGCACGATTACATCGCACTTTACGGTAAATGTGGTTGACCAGATAATACGTTATGTTTTGGGGTATTCTGCAACTTTTAAACATTTTTGAGGAATGTACAGTGACATTGTGATTATAACAAATGAAAAAAAAATCACGTATAATTAACTTTATCATTATATTAAACTATTTCATTAAACTCGAATACGCCCGTTATATTTAACATGTTAACATAAACCCGCAGCAGGGTTTTACGATACCTCGCGGTACGTGTTTATTTATTTTTGCAGAAGTTGGAGCCCCATTTCCTTTGTGGTAAACACTAACTGGAATTCTGCCACTGCAGCTCTTTCTGGTAATTTGTTCAATACATTTATTTGTTGTGAAATGACAATTATAAAAATATAAGTAGAATAATGAGATTAGTTACACTTATTTAACGTAGATAAACGGGATTTTATAGAGGTGAGTATTACATAGTGAAAGTGATTGCATTCAACCCATCACCACAGTGAGCAGTAGGCTGCTGGTCCATGTGAACCAGCGACCATCTGGACCCAAGTCCTCTTCCTTAACCACCAGGCCCCATAAAGCAGTAGAACTTTGCATTTTATTTTTATTTTATTTTATGTTATTTTTTTGTGTTTTCTGTATCCCGTGAACAGCACTTGTCCCAGTATGTACTGTGTATTAGGATATCACACAATAATGCTGTTTAAAGCCCCAGGTCCTTTGTGAAGTACCACTCATGAAGGTCATTGACTACATGGTATTCATCATCTCTCGCAATATGGTCACAGCCGAGGCAGATGGGATGAATAAATTGTTTTGGCACCGTCAACAGATGAGGAAGAACAGTGTAGTACTTTCTCCAGTCAAAGTAAGCCAGGTAGGCGTCAATGTCATTGTCCAACCTTTTTAAATGTTCTGCCATTGATTTTGCATCAGGAAAGTCGTTGACATGAATGAAGGAGTTGCTGGGAAGATACCGCTCGTAGTTCTCTCTGGGTGGACCCAGAACTATAGGCACTGTCCCTGCTGCCATGGGTCCGTTCACCTTCTCTGTCATGTAATCTTTGAAGAGCGAGTTTTCAAATGAGAGGTAAAACTTACAACCTGCAATGGTTGGGTAATAGTCTTCAAAGCTCAAACCTTTTGCAGTATGTGCACGGCCAAAGAGGTTAACCTCTATGTGCTGGGACAGTTGATTAAAATATCTCTCTCTTGTACCTGTTCCAGTAAATGCAACCCTGTTACTGACTATCCAACACACCAGTTTGTCTTTTTTGGGCAAAATAAAGTCATCTTTTTCTCCGTCTTTCCTGATTGTCACCTCGTCTCTCCATACAATGTCAGCATCTCCTCTGTAGCTAATTGTCAAGTTAAAGATGTTTTCCAACAGTGGTTTCTTTATCGTGTTCCTCGGAGATTCCTCATTCAGCCAAATCCATTTCTGAAAAGTGGGACGTGTCTCAACTGGCATGTTGTTTAAATGAGCATCAATATTTTTATGGAAGAAAATGACTCCTTCTGCTTCACTGTACAAGGACCTATTATCAGTCAGTATGCAGCTGTCAATGTTGAAGTAAGATGCGCAAATGTTGAAATCAAACTTTAGTTTTAAAGGCCAGAACCAAAGCAGAACTATAGGCCGCACAGATTCTTTAACAGCAGGTGTTTGTTTTCTATCCTGTGTCAAAGTAGATGGACATATGTGAGTTTCTGGGTATATATAAAGAACAGACAGACAGAAATAGCAGGCAAAGCCAAAGGCAATGACTGCTATATAACACATCTTGGTGGAACCTGGCGCCATCTGTGGAAAGAAAAAAGAAACAACGATTTACCTTCAGAAATGCCTTTTGATCACCACGTGGTAAGAAGCATAAACATTTGTTGATGGAAAAAAATGTTATCAGCAATGTTCCCTCTGACTCTTCATGTGTCTGGGCATACACCGAGTTCTCTGAGCACGCTGAGGACCACTGCGAGCAACATCAGAAGTACACGCTGTGGCCACACACCCGTATCACACTTCTTCAAAACCTGGAGCTTATCGAGTTACATGGATTATTAAAATAATTAAATTAAAGCAGTGATTTCCATTAGAGTACTTTTAATATAAGTAATTTAGCCCACTTAAAATGAAAAAGACATAAATCTTGTTGTTCATCAGATGTGTAGTATGTTATATGAGAGCATCCTGCATTTGACCTAGGTGAAGTCCAGTTGTGGTCTGGGTGAGGGTTTTGCTCTGGAGGCATATGCACCTGACATAACACTTACTAGTACCTGTAAAGATTTAAAACACATTCACATTTTGCACAATGACTTATGCTGTAGACTGTGATAGAGTGTAAATTCTTATAACCCTTTGTCTGCAAAAATATAATTACAGTTTTTTATTAGCATTCATACTACCCTCATACTAATACATTATCTAGTAGTAACAGCATTTAATTATAAATATGTATAAATAAAAATTGAATGAATGAAAAGAAATGTCACTAGTAAATGCAGAAATCTAACTTAAATTTCACCTTATTTTTCATGTATGTTGATGGCAAACTTTGGCTTCGCTGCATGTTTTTCAAAGCAGACCTTTCTTACTCGAAAAAGAAAAAAAAGCTCAACCAGTTTTATCACATAATCTGGCAGCCATTCCATCTTAAAAGAACTGCAGTTCATTTTTACTTTGACTTGGTGAGTGGACGTGTCGCTGCTCGGTTGTTTGCATTTAGCATTTGCATCTTGATTCCGCTGTTACTTTGATAACCTGGGGACGTCCCCCATGGGCAGGGCTCAGTGAGATGCATCATTACGTTATTTTTTCGGATCAATGATCAATAAAATTAATACCTACAACACAGTTTGTGTTTTTGAATTTTATTTTATGCGCTGCATAGATTATTTTGTCCGCTGAGAATGTTTAAGCAATGGGCGCAGCTTAGAGGGAACATTGGTTATCAACAATTTAAATGCCAGGATGACTGAAGGACTTAAAGAGGCTTTTATCTAAAATGTTTTCTTTAAAAGAAAAGAAAAGACAGAAGAATCAACTTTATTGGTCATTGTGCATCAATCCATCCATGCATTTTCATCTGCTTATCCGTTACCGGGTCGCAGGGGCAGCAGTCTTTATGACCGCCACCCAAATCGCACTAGTGTTGAATAATATTAAGAAGTTTAAAGTGAACTACTTGTCATTGTGACTGCACACAACCAAATGTGACCTCTGCTTTTAACCCCTCACCAAAGTGAACAGTGGGCAGCTCTAAGCGCCCGGGGAGCAGTGTGTGGGGACGGTGCCATGCTCAGAGCACCTCAGTGGTAACTTGGAAGCTGCTGTACTCAAACCTGAAACTCTCCAGACCCAAGGACCTTCCTTAACCACCAAGCCACCACTGCCACCGAAAAAAATATATAATATAATACAATATGATGTAAAATATGATATAATATGCTAAGCACACTGTAAAGGTAAATATCACAGGAATGAATAAATGAATATTTCTTAACTCACCATTTCAGGCCGAACTAGTACAAAATGAAAAGGTAATTCAGCGTGTTGAGACACAAGTTTTTACAGTTGTGAGCAACTGTAAAAAGCAGTCCAACTTGTTGTACAGCCAGCTTTAGTTGTTGTACTTAAGCAAAGCTGAAGTGAGAAAAATAATAAAACCGCCTCCTATCTCTCTCCATTATTTACATGATTGGTCGGATACATTATGTGCCGACAGGAGGAGGAGGAGAAGGAGAGTGATGAACTTGTAGCGCTTGTCTGACACATTTTAATTTATTAGGATTTTTCTTCCAGTGTTGAGACAGAATTGCTGTCAAGCAAACACGTCTGACAACATTGGCAGATACGTTGTGCCCAACACAAGATGAACTGATTTAACCGGAAGATGTTTTGTTCTTTGAGGCAGAATTCTTGTTAAGCAAACGAGTCTGACAGCATTGACAGAGGGTGTGCCCAACACATTATGAACTAATTAAACTAATTCACATTGTTACTCTAAACTCTAAAAAACAACAAACTACCACTAAAAACACAAGACACCCCTCAAATTTACTGATACACTCTCTGAGTATAATACAACACAATAGGAATATATATCTATCCATTACAATAAAATCTAATAAGTACAAATATAATAAATCAGTGATTCCCGACCACTATGGCGTGGTAGAACGATTAAATACTTTTCCTCACCATTTGTGTCCAATCAATACCAAAGTGCCAAAGTAAAGTATTTTTTCAGATAAAGTACCAATCATGCAGGTCATTGACCACATGATAGTCCTTGTCTTTTGCGATGTGGTCGCAGGCGAGGCAGAAGGGATGGTAGAATCTTTCACCCATTTTAGGATAGTGAGGTGCAGCAGTGTAGTACCTTCTCCACTCAAAATAACTCATGTACGCTTCATCGTCTTTGTCCAGCTGCTTCAAATACTCTGCCAGTGACTTTGGATCAGGGAAATCGTTGACATGAATGAAGGACCCGACGGGAAGAAACTGCTCATAGGTTTCTCTTGGTGGACCCAGAACTACTGGGACTGTCCCTGCCACGAGGGGCCCATTCACTTTTTCTACAAAATAATCTTTGTAGACGGAATTCTCAAATGAGAGGTAAAATTTACAATTACCAACCACCGAGTAATAGTCATCAAAGTCTAACCATTTCCCAGCATGAGCCAAACCGTACACATCGATCTTTATGTATTTGGACAGTTCACTGTAATAGTTCTCTCTCAGGGTTGTACCATAAACAGCAAATTTGTTGCTAACAATCCAGCACACAAGTTTGTCTTTCTTTGGAAGCATGATGTTGTCCTTCATCTCCTCATCCCTGATGGTCAACTCATTCCTAACAGTGATGTCAGCGTCTCGTCTGAAGTTCAGTGTCAGGTTGAAAAGATTGTCCAGCCGTGGTTTTTTCTCTGTGTTCATAGCAGATTCCCAATTGCACCAGATCCATTTTTGAAAGGGTGGGCGAGGTTCCTGAGGCAGGTTTGATAAATCTGCATTTATACTTTTGTGGAAGAAAATGACTCCCTCTGCTTTGCTGTACAAAGACCTATCATCAGTCAGTATGCAGCTGCTGATGTTGAAATATTCTGGACATTTGGACAAATCAAACGGTACTTTCAAAGGCCAGAACCAAAGCAGAACAATTGGTTTTTCAGGAGAATTTGTTTTTGTAAAATGTCTTTCTTCAACTTCCTCAGGATTGGTCAACAATGATGGACAAAAGTTAGTTAGTGGCTCATAAAACATAAGATAGAAAAATGCAAGGCTCGTAAGACCAACCACACCTATCCTTGCTAGGTTCATGTTGGTGAACGCCAAGGTACACAGCACTGCCATCTGTGGAAATAAAAAAGAAATAAAACGTATTACAGTGTAAAAAACGCAGTCTGGTCTACAAATACATGTAAATTATGGGAAACATTTTAAAAAGACCAATATTCATTTAATTACTTCATATTTACACCCACAGTACATCATACTTACAGTAGAAATGATTGTTTTACACTGAATTTCAACTTACCTTTTACAGGAGCTGGGCGTGGTACTCTCACAGGCTACTGATGTTTCACTGAAATTAGGCATTGGTTACAGATGAAATTCACAGCCTCTCTTTTCTTAAAACAAATGGTCAACTTCATGTTATGAAGCACTGGATTTGCCAATATTAAATGAATAAATAAATAAATAATAACTCAAATTTGTTATTAATTTATTGAGATACCAATTAGTTTTATGTTAAAAAAACAGATATAATTATTTCACCATTAATTTATAACTTTTATCTGTCAAACTCACCCATTAAAGACAATGGATTTTACCTTGACATGGGTTAGGGTTAGCTCCCGTCCTCTTTATCTTTATATCTTTACACAGTACGAGCTGTCCTTATTTCCTGTTTTAACAAGGGTGTGGTCGCCCTGCAGGAATGTAAAGTGACATCCACCTGCTATATGTAAATATATATACAAAACTCCTGACTATCTGAAAAAACATTGATCCAGATGCTGGAGGACATCAACATGGAGTCACAAATGATTAAAAAAAATCTCTTACTTGGGCATTAAAAAAACACAATAAAAAGAATCATGTTAAATGTACACTCTCATTCCTCATCAGTTTAAAATAAAATCAAATAAATCTAACTTCCAAGATCAAGATATCCTCACCTCACATCACTGGTTTAGATATCTTGATCTTGGAAGTTAGATTTATTTGATTTTATTTTAAACTGATGAGGAATGAGAGTGTACATTTAACATGATTCTTTTTATTGTGTTTCTTCAAATGCCAACGTTATAATTAAATAAAATGTTCTGATTCCGTACTTCATTTCTCTTCATGTCTGTTATTTTATGAGTGGGACACATATTGTGACAAAAGTTAATAATATGGTACAGATACGTATCAGATGCAAACAACCGTCACTGTTGAACACAACACAAATTACAGCTTGTTAAACATTGACTCTACGCAACTACAGTGAAGACAGGCGTCATAAAGCCTTACACAGTCCTCAATTAATCTAAACCAAACTGTACAGCAACAACGGCATAAGATTGTTTTTGAGCAGTTTCTGATAGTCTTGCATGTCTTACCTGCATGCCCTTTCCTTTGTTTATAGTCACCTACTGTAGGTAGAAGGAATGACTGCAGAACTGGAAATTCAACCCTGCAACCAGATTGGCTGCTGTTACTGGAGAAGTTATAGGCTCTAAAATACTTCCGTGATGTTAATGATGATACAAATCGACGACTCTGCTAAGCCATACTGTAAACACAAACACCATTCTCATGCTTTCAGATAATCTTTCTTCACTTTTATTGTTGTTATGAGTTATGGTCCCTCAACCTCCCCAGTCTCACCATTATCGTCCAGAAAGTCCACACCTATCCTTGCTAGGTTCATTTTGGTGAACGCCCCGGTAAACAGCACTGCCACCTGTGGAAATAAAAAATAAATAAATATTAAAGCTTTAAAAACCATTTCAGTCAGACGTTATATTATGTTCTTTAGTTGAGGCACCAAACAAAAAAAGCAAACACCACACTGTCACTGTTTGAAAGAGTGGGTGTGCACTGTCACTTGCCAACGTCACATACAAAAAAGGGATGATCCAGTGCATTTTTTTGTCAGTGTTGTATAATGTAAAAAAAAAAGTGCTTCAGCTTATTAAATAGTGGGCCAATCATCATGCAGAAAACTAGTGAGCACTGAGATAATTGTCCCTCTTTTATAGAATAAATAAGGAGGCTTGAATATTTAATGGATTTCCACAAGACTCCAACCTCTGATGATAAAAGTTAACTTTTACAAAGGCTGTTCAATACACTATTCTCCTCTATCCATTCAGATTGGCAACAAAAGGGCCACAGCTGCTCCAAACTGTGTCGGAACAACATGGAGAAGAATATTTACTTTAGAGGTTAGAAGTCCAGTAGCCTAAGAAACAAGCTGTTGGTTATTGTTTTGAATACCAAGGGCTGAGCGTCAACACTGTGGAAAAAACAGGAGCGCACAACCACTCCGATGACAAGTGTTATAACTTAACAAGACAGAGGAAAGACAGATTTTGAAAGGCATTTCTGCAGATAACAAAGAGCACTCCTTACCTTCAGGTCCAAATACAGTGTAGTACCAAGTACTTAATGAGAGAGAGCAGAACAGACTTAAGCTAGAATACAACACATCCAAGACCAGCGTCATTCAATTACTCCATATTTACACCCACAGTACATCATACTTACAATGGAAATGATAGTTTTACATTGAATTTCAAATCACCTTTTTGAGGAGTTGGATTTGGTACTCTCGCAGGCTACAGTTACGGATTCAGTTCACAGCTTCCCTTCTGTGTAAACGTGACGCTCCACAGTTTAGGAGACATCACTGTATTAGTAATATGAACAACAAACACCAAAGTAATAACCTTTCCACTGTGTTGTATGTTGTGACATCCACCTGCTATATGTAAATATATCCTAAAAACTGACCATCTGAAAAAACATAAGAAAATAATCCAGATGCTGGAGGACATCAACATGGAGTCACAAATTATTAAAACAAAACACAAAAATAATCATGTTAAATGTACAGTCTCATTTCTCGTCAGTTTAAAACCTCAACTAAAACTAACTTCCAAGATTAAGATTCTTCCAAGATTCCCTACCTCCCCTGACTGCACATCACATTAACGATTTGTAACTGATACTGTTGTTCTTTCTTGTCAACTAAGCAGATTAACTATTACACATTAAAAGTTTCTTGTTTCACGTCGCTCACTAAGCTTAAAATGGCTCCTATTGATTGTGAGGGAATGTAGACTAATGACTATTGTTGATGACTTTGCTAAGCCATACCGTAAACACAAACGTCATTCCCATGCTTGCAGATAATCTTTCTTCACAATTGGCCCGATACGACAACTGGGGCAATCGCTCACTCACACCCAATTCAGGGTTTGGGGTGTCATAAACTTGTGGTTAACCATTCTGTGCTGATAAGCATTTGTTTAACTAAACATTCAGTTGAGTTTGGACCGTGGACACTGAGTTGAGTTTCAGCAGAGCAGTAACATTTCTACAGATGTCATAAAAGTGTGGTTAACTATTTAGTGAACATTCAGAGTCACCATTTTGGGTTTTAACAGAACAGTATCTTTCCTACATTGGTTAAAAACTTAGTTTGTGATCCAAATTGTTCGAAAAAGGAGGCATTCGACAACTAAGGTTCCAGTGCACTAGCACAGCCTGAATTGCTTCTTAAATGAGTCAATAATTACATAACCTATCAAAGAAAGGTAAGGGTTAAACTTCTCTAAAGGAATAATAGTTGTATAGCTTTGCTGTTATTTGTTCTACGTTCACCTTGCATGGGTAAACACTTTAAAAAGTATACCTGTAAAAGACAAATACTCACACACAAAAGAAAATTTGAAGAAATTTTTCATTTTAGACAATATTGACATTCTAGCAAAGGCAATTAGACATGAACTTCAAAGGTACAACCAAATTAAACAGTAACCCTAAGTGATTATGGCAACAGAGCAAGGCATTAATATTTCCCAACAGCAAACACTTGTTACAGTTTGTAAATATGTTTTGCATGATTGTTATATATACAATAAAAAAAACACGTGAAAACCACCCTGAGTTTTATATCCCAAATCCCAAATATTGTTACTTTTGATAGTCTTGGACAATCGTTACATTGCATTTAAATAGCAGGACCCTCACAGAGGTATGTTATTTAAATACCTACTATCACTGTGCAACCCACTTGTAAAGGTCGCGTACTACTCTGTACTCGTTGGTGTGGCCAATGTGGCTACAGGCTTGACAAACACCAAGTGCAAATTTACGATTCTCGTCAGTGAAGGGACGCCTCACTGTGTAAAACTGCCTCCAAATGAAGTACTTTTTATACGCCTCATCATCTTCATCCAGTTTCATTAGAAATTCAGCCAGTGAAAAAGCATCAGGGAAGTCGTTTACATGTATGAAAGAAGTACCTGGGACAAACTTCTCATAATTCTTTCTAGATGGACCTAAAGCTACCGGCACAGTTCCAGAAGCAAGTGGACCGTTAAATTTTTCAGTAATATAATCGCGGTGAACTGATTCCTCGAATGAAAGGAAGAATTTACAGCTGCCTACAGTTTGGAAGTAGTCGTCACCCTTCACTCGTTCATCCGAAGGGTCATAGATCTCCACTTTTAGGTACTTAGAAAGCTCTTTGTAGAAGCTGTAGCTGTCCCCTGTTTTTGTGTCAAGGTCACTGCGCTTAACAATCCAACATACTAGTTGTGCTTTCTTTGGTGGTATGTATTCTGGATCTGGAATCTTCTTGACGGTCAGGTGCCAGCGGACAGGAATGTCAGCATCCTTCCTGTAGCTTGAGGTCAAATTGAAAAGCGATTCGATGCCTAGTATCTTGCGTGTATTTGGAGGGGTGTCCATGTTCAACCAGATCCAACGTTGGAATTTGGGTCTTGGTGAATTGGGCAGGTTAGACAGGTCATCTTTAATGTCATTGTGGAATATTAAAACTGCACGAGCTGTGGAGTATTTGGATCTGTCATCCGTAAGTTCGCAGTGGTCAATGTTTAAAATATTTTCACAGTCTTTCAAATCAAACATTCGACTTTCAGGCCAAAACCACAGCAGCAAAAGTGGCTTTTTGGTTGTTTCTGTGGTTGTTACCATTGACGTTTGGATATTATTTTTAGCTTGTTTTGGGGAAGGATGACATTTTGGTAGTGGAAGGGATCTGTAGTACACTGAAAACAGGACAATTAGTCCTCCCAACAGAAGGACTACAATAAAGACAGATCGCAAAGCAGAGAAGGTGGATAAGGAGACCATGTTGGATCTACAGAAAAGAAACACACAGAAACAAAAAAAAGTGTCAAAACAAACAACAACAAAATAAATCTTAGTATTGTAATTAATATTGTAATTGTAAAATTGTAACACTACTTGAAATTTTCAGAATACAGAAAACATTAATGTCTACAGCATACTGGCTTACTCAGTACAACAAAAACCCATTTTATCCAAGATTAAAAATAAAATATTTTAGATATAATTTTAGATTACATTTTACAACACATAACTCATTTTTAAATGGTGGAAATGAAATGCAATCTTTAGATTTAAGTTTGATAACGTCACCGCGTCTTACGTAAGACATTATCATTTATGAGTCGTAAATTCAACAAGTAAGCTGTTTGGAGAATTTACTATTGATAATAAATAAAGAAAAACCTTACCTCTGCTTCTTGACCTTATGGAATCGTGTGTATACGTAAAAGACCCAGAAGTTACTATATTAAAGACGGTAATTGTTTGACTCACCTACGTAAGCGTAAGGTTGAACCCCGCACACCAAACGTACACTTTTCAACTAATTGCTGAACTGTGCAGCGTTTGTAAACGCCAGGGTGCGTGTGAAGAAACATTTATTGAAATATGAAACGTTCACCTGCTTCTCCTCATTACTGACGCCCCACATTCGTGTGGAGCGGAAGAAGGAAGTCACAACCTGGTCACAACGGTTAAAAAACGCATGTTTCATCAACCACCAAAACGCAGGTGTTTTAGTAAGATAAGGTGTAAGTAATCATGAAGGTGGAACTGTGCATCTAAATTATATTTTTTCTAGTATTTAGTTGTAATTATTTATTTCTAAAGTAAAAAATAAAATATATGATCCTGCATAACAGGTGCAGCAATGAAAGCCACGCCCACCCTAAATGAACGCCTTCCACCCCTTCTCAGCTCCTCCTCTCCTATGATTATTATTATTATTATTATTATAAAAATAAAAAATGATACAAAATGTTTATGTGTACTATTACTACTATTAATACACATCATAAACCGGCTATTGTCTGCCATTCTGCTGCAAGAACACATTATTAATTCTTACTCCCTTTTAGAACTGGAGAACCAGATCATAAAGTCATAAGTAAAAGCCTATTGATTACATGATTCTAAGAAATGTCTCATTTCAGTTTGAGCATTTGGACTTTTCATCAAAGTAAGCGCATCGTATAAGACTACAAAAAAAATCTCAAAACAGAAAACAACCATCACACTCAAACTTCCTAGAAAATAAAAAAGAATATGGTCAATTTCTCTGTTCGCCATTTGTTAAAAACACATAACATTCTAAAAATGTCTTTACAAGAGAGTGTACTTCCTCCCTTTGATGAGGATTTCTTTATCATCCAGATGATCTTTTGAGCCCTCATTCACTTCAAACAGTGTCGTTGTCAGTATATTGAACAGTATAGAGATGGTCCTACCCTCTTGTGTCTTGTTATCTCTGGTTGTAATGTGTGAAAGGCTGCCACCACTGGATTATTTTTTTTAAATCAATAAGAAGTGCTTGCACATCCACTTTACAGAACACAGTTAAATAATCAATGTATAATTTGCCCTACCCAATATGTCCTTGCTCCTCTCTGCATCAAAGATAACAACCAATACTATCACCTGATCATTAGGCTTATACCTCTTTTTTAGATCAAATCAATTCAGAAAAAATCAATGTTGGATCAAATACAGATTGTACAACAATAAAATCCCCAGTAAGAAACCCCACAGGAGAAGAACTTTATGCAAGCTGAAAGTGAATGTATCACAACCAGAAGACATCCTAGGATGCCCAAAACCTTTGTGATACAGTATGCAGTAGGCTCTACTTATCTGTGTGCTAATATGGTCGTGCACCGAGTGGATGGGATAGTCACATGTTTGATGCATCGGTTTGTGGTTGACACACAGAAGGGAATAAGGCAATATCTAACTTTTGTCTGGCTAAGTGGCTATGGAACATGGTTTGGAGGAGGTGTCCAGAGGCTCATTATAGGCTCCTCAGTGGTTCCATCCATTCTCACTGTTACTTGGTATCATTAGAAGATATATGGCTGCAGGCCCATAATGAGTGTAGCAATAGGCAAACGTCAATCTGTAACTTTTCCCGTCAGAAAAGTGAAGTGAAGATTATCAAAAATGCCACAGGTCACTTGGCTATGAGGAATGGGTTTCAGAGGTTTGGCTGTCAGTGCAACAGCATTTGGTTGGAATGTGCTGGCATTCTCTGTCGCCTGACAAGTACTGAAGTGCCTTGAGTATGACTACTGGGAGTGTTTTAGTGTATTTCGGTCTTTATCTTATCTGCCTTACTTCCAGAATAATTCTTGATCGTATATTGGGTCGACTGGTATATCGATGAGTTTTCTAAATTGTAAACACATGGTATCAGATCCACACAAGATTTTGAGGATGTGTTTGGCATTTACACACATGCCCAAAGAGATAGAGAGAGCTAGAGAGAGAGAGAGTATGGTCCATATTACCCCTTCACTTTTTGCTGTTACCCTTATTCAGTGAAAAACTGCTAGAGGGTAGGTTTGTGTTTCACCACCTACTGATGACCAAGGGAAACTGACAGAACCTGAGAGGACTGTGGTATCTAAGTGTGTATGTTTTCTCTGTGTGTGTGAGCGTGTGTGTTGGACAGCGGACAGGGAAGGGCAGCAGATGACAGAGGACAGCACATTAAAGAAATGGAAGAGAAAATAAAACATGCTAAGTGGAGCGTGATTGTGCAGTCAATATTTGCTCTTATGAAAACAAATTTTATGATCAATTATTTCCTTGTCTTGAGCAAACATTATAACGATAACCCTACTGTTTGCCTTTCTTGTTCTTACTACAGTAGTAATGTCAGTTTGCTGTGCTATTATCCATTATTTGATTTATTAATTAGTTCTAGCATATGTTGGATTAGAGAGATGGTTTGTGTAACTCTATTGCTGTAATAGCCGTTGATGTGACTGTATGGACAGGTTTATGTTTACCTTAAAATATCTGGTGAAAATTCAATAATGCACAGTAAATATATCATATACTACTAAAGCTAAAGTACAGACAACTTTGATGCTGTGCTTGGTAAAGGAAACATTGAATAACTTTATTGACTTTGCGTAATAAAATGTGATTCACAGCACTCAACCACCATGTCCTGCATGGGCAGCAGCACTGCCAAGTAAGGCTCCTATTAACTATTGAAGTAGATTCAAGTGTGTGTGTGTGTGCTTAAATCCCATTGCAGTGTTCAGATTTTTGTCAGCCTAGTGAAATTTTATCTCTTTCGCTCTTTCTCCCTCCCTCTCCCTCTCTCTCACACACACAAAGGGGGTAATTATCCCTTGTTTATCAGACTTAGATCCGTTTACAGTCTTAAACCACTAGAGGGCCTTATCTTACAACAAGAGACAGTCCGCACCCATAATGGAACAGTACAATAAATACACACACAAAATAATAATAATAATAATAATAATAATAATAATAATAATAATAATAATAATAATAATAATTTGGTGTTGTTAAGGTTTGATTCTAACTTCAAACGTCATCACCTTTCTAATTAGGATTAATGAAGTTGGAGGTGTATCAATGTAAGTTCGGGAGGTGAAGGGGGCACAGATGACTGTTCCTGCTCCTAAAGCATCATAATTACACAACAAAACTATCAGGATGAAAGAAAAGGATTTGTTAAGAACTGGAGAGACTATAAAAAAAACACCAGTCAATGACTTTAATCAGGGACAAGTGCATCACAGACAACCTGATGTCCTAAAAGACGTTTGTCAGATTGAGAGACAACTTCACGGACATGCTTTATGTGCAACTGAGGAGAGTCAAGAAATACAACTATGTTGGTATGTTAAAAGAAACCAAGTCATCAACATAACCTTATCCTTGTTATTTTCTTCCAATTGGTCAGCAACTATTTCAGTTTATGCTTCAAAAAGAATAAAGAAGTGAATGTTACCGACTGAAAAGCACCAAGCCCAGACTTTGGGTCCAAAAACAACTGAGAAGTCGAGTTTAAATTGTCGTTCATGCCAGAAGACTGTCACATCTGGAAAAGCTTGAAAGGTGATTAAAAAAAGAATGGACTGGTAAAAGTACTCAACAACTCAAACTGGCTGAAAAGTACCACAAAAGTACTTCAATCTGTTATTCAGTATTACAACGGTGCACAGGTGGCACAATTTGTTTCAATACAGGAAGCAAAGTGAAGGGCAGACGCCTTCAGAGAGTTTCACTAAGAAATTGTGAGTTATTGTGTGTTTGACTGCAGTAAAAGACCAAGAACTTTCTTCTTTTGCTGATCATCACTGGAGGTGAGAAGAGAAGTCTTCTGTTTGGTCTTTGATCACTAAAGCAGCCCACTGAATGACTCAAGCCTTAGTTCACCCAGGAAGGAAACTCCCCGCTTTCCCAGAGGACGTCAATCCAAAGTCCACCGTGGCAGCTGTGTACACGAAAAGGAGGAGGAGGAGAAGGAGTAGGAGGAGGGAAATAAAGAAGTGTGTCAGTGTACACACATAAGCTTCCTCCTACAACAGTGACCACAGCAGTTTGTTGACACTAACCACCTCTCTCTTCCTCTAACAGCATGGGCTGTTTCTGTAATAGTTGCTGTAATATAAAGGCAATCAGAGGACAAAAGCTGGGCTCTCTGATTTAAGGATGACCTATTCAGTGATGACACACTGAGAGTGGGAGAAAAATGGAGAAAGAGAAAGAGAGAGAAATAGAGAGAATGAGTGTGTTGCGGCGGTGATGTAATAGCTTCCTGGAGTCACTGGTTCCCAAGAGAGAATGTGTGATTCTGTCAGGCAACAGCCCAATATGGAACTATTAGCACACAGTGGATACACAACAAGACAAAAAAGCTATTGATACCACATTCAAAAATCCCCTCGTACATCTGACTCTATAAGGTAGCTTACCCCAGGTGACTTCTATATTTACCCTTGTATTAACTACACATTTACAAATATGACAAGGTGACATTTTAAATCTTAATTCACCTTGACAAAAAAAGGTTTCATTTAGGGAAATTTGAGATTTGTCTCTGAGCTTATCCTGACTTTCCCTCTCAAACCTTCACTTCCTCTTTTGGTTCTAAACCCTCAGCTCTGCAGTCTTTAAGACACAATAGTGCCACCTAGTGGCTTTATTTCATATTTGAACATGAACATATTGAGCCTGATCTGTCATCAATTGATTTTAGAAGAAATTACATCAACGTATTATTACTATTATTATTTCAAGATTTCCAATAGTATTTCTTTCTTTTCCTCACATATTTGTTTAAGTTGGGTTTTTTTGTTACTTTTGGTACAAATCAAGTTATTCCTGTAATTGTGGTGGTGGTGGTGGTGGGTTTCTTCGGTTTTCCAGTCATTGGACTCAGCATTCAGGTCACACTGACATTGTAAACCATGAAATCAAAGAAAATCTGATGGGGTAAATTAACTTTTGGAAAAACCAAACCCCACAGTGTAGACACGTGACAAAATAAGTTGAGAAATGTTTTAACACAAAATACTAATAACTAATGTTTGAAGTCAGTATTTGCTTTATTAATAATTACCTCTGCTGCTATGAATCACTTTAATCAAAGCTGTACCTGCGTTGTTTTTATTTACTGCACCGACTGCCTCTGGTATCAGCTAGTTACAGCTCAGGTATTTGCTGGCAAGGACTCAAGGAAAAGTTTGAAAAGTCAAAGCAGAAAACTCTAATTATTAAAAGGGATTCAAGGACAGACGTTGCCGGGCAGTGATAGTGACCTAAAAGCAAAAGTCA